ACAACCAAGTTTTACACTCTCTCAGCCTCAGAGGGTGGCCATGACGAACCTTCTCTGAGGAAACTTGCTAAGCTTTATTATATAGGTTTACCTTAGGATCACCATAAGTTGTAAAGGGACTTAAAAAGGCACAGCAGCTGAGGAGGCTCCTTTTCCTGGCCTGGCCCTCCTCCTCCTCCTCCTCCTCCTCCTTCTTGCCTCCAAGTGGTGCCTGGCGCCTCCTCCTTTCCTTTCTCCTTCTCTTTCTTCCTCCTTCTCTTTCTTCCTCTCCTCCTCCTCCTCCTCCTTTTCCATCATGGGTCTGGAGGCTTGTCTTTAGCCCTTTGTCTAATAGTTAAGGGGACCAGCAGAAGGCCTGGGCTGAGAGAGAGACACAGAGAGAGAGTTTCCAGGGTTTTCCCTTTTTGACTTTCTTTCTTTCTTTCCTCTCCTCATCCTTTCTTTCCCTTCTTTCTTTCTCCTCGAAGCTCTCTGCAGAAGATGGCCGGGCTAAAGAGCACCGAGGCTAACGAGGCAGAGGCGCCGGGACGCAGCCGACGAGGAGGGGTCGTGGTAATAAATGCAGAAATATGTACTGTATATCCCCAAATGTTGTAGTCAAAAGGATGGGAGCAGGGGTCCTCACCCACAAGGAGGACAAGGCATTGCCAAAACAACAACAACAACAACAGCCACAAAGCTTTCATAAACTCCACTCATATCAATTCATGCTGCATAGTCATGCTCATAATGGAGGACTTTTTGGAATTCTTCCTGGACAGAAGGATGGGATGGAGGGCATGTCCTGGAAAAGGAGGACGCCTCGTCACCCTGGGTGGGAGTTGTAGTCGCCTCAGGAAAAGTGGTTTGCACCCGAAACTCAGTCTCTTCCCAAACAAATCCTTCTTCTAATCTAGACCTACTGAGGCATCCCTTTCCCAGCACTTTTTGGCCATGCCTAACCCAAAGCTTCAGAAAGTTACTTTTCGGACGTTGTTGCTGTTGTTGTTGTGTGCCTTCGAGTCTGTGGCGACCCTATCATGAGGTTTTGTTGGCAGGTTTCTTCAGAGGGAGTTTGCCATTGCCATGCTCAGAGGCTGAGAGAGTGTGACTTGCCCAGGGTCACCCAGTGGGTTTCATGGCCAAGCTGGGATTTGAACCCTGATCTTCAGGTTCTTAGTCCAACACTCAAACCACCATGCTATCACCCTTCAAATCCCAGCTGGCAAAGGAGGGGGGATTCTGGG